CCCTGAGTTGTCCCTGGGGCGACTGCTCCTCTGTCCAGGTTCCTGGCTTTTATCCCCTTTCTTCTACTCTTCCGGCCTGCTACTCTGGGCGGGCCTGAGTTTCCTCTCCTCACCTAATCCCTTCAGCTGATTGCTCTTCTCTCTGGCTTCCTGGCTTTTAATACCCTTTCTCCTGCTCTTCCCGCCTGCTACTTTGGGCATCCCTGAGTTGTCTCTCCTCACCTGTAACCCTGGGGCTGACTGTTCTTTTGTCTGGGTTCCTGGCTTTTATCCCCTTTTTCCTGCTCTTCCGGCCTGCTAACTGTAACTGTGTATGTAACTGTGTATGTAACTGTGGTACATACACACAATAGAATACTATGCAACCCTAAAGAATAATATAGAATCTGCAAAACACCACATGATATGAATGAACTTGGAGAACATTATGCTGAGTGAAATAAGTTAATAAGTTAATCACAGAAGGACAAATGTAATAGTCCACTATTGTAAAAGTCAAGGAAAAGTTTATCCTTAGAGGAAACTTTCTTTGTTGGTTACCAGGGATGGGAGGGGAGGTTAAATTCCTAGCTAAGTTGGGGAATATATATATATATATACATAAACAACACACACATACATACCAAAGATTAGTAGTGGTTACCAGAGGTAGGAGTGATGGGGAAAGGGGAAGCTTTGTTTGCAGGGCATTGAGTTTATGCTAATGGTATTGGGAATATTTTGGAAAAGGATAGCAATAATGGTGGCACAAAATGAAAAATGTCATCAGTGTCCCTGAGTTGTAAATGAGGAAGTTGTTATGTTGGCGAACATCTTGTTGTGTATGTTTTCTCCACAATGTAAGTTTTACAAAAAGAATTTAATTTTTAGAAAGTCCCAGTCGTCTAGCTTCCCATAAAAAGTTTTTAAAACGTGATCAAAGACTTAAATGTGAAACCTAAAAAAACTATAAAGTTCCTCAAGGAAAAACTAGGGGAAAATTTAGGGTCCCAAATATATGGCATAAATAGACTGTCAAGCATAACCCAAAATGCACAAACAGCAAAAGAGAAACTAGATGAATGGCCCTTCTAAAAATTAAATTTTTATGTACTTCCAAAGACTTCTTCAAAAGAGTCAAAAGAGAACCTACAGACTGGGGAAAAATATTCAGCAATGACATATATGACAAGGAAATTATCTCTAAAATTTATAAAAACTCCAACATCTCAACACCTTTTTGTTAAAGGACAAATAGTCCAATTGAAAAATGGGCAGAAGACATGAAAAGACACTTCACCAAAGAAGATATTCAGGTGGCCAACAAACACATGAAGAAATGTTCACGATCATTAGCCTTTAGAGAAATGCAAATAAAAACAACAAGATACCATCTTGCCCCAGCACTAGTAGCAAAGTTCAACAAGACAGAAAACAAATGCTGGCGAGGATGCAGAGAGATTGGGACTCTCATGCACTGCTGGTGGGACTGTCACATGATAGAACCACTGTGGAAAGCAGTATGGCAATTCCTTAAAAAGTTGTAATTAGAAATATCATTTGACCCAGCCATGCCACTACTCGGTATATATCCTAAAGTGAGAGCCAGGACAAGAACAGATATATGCACACCCATGTTCATCACAGCACTATTGATGGAATATATATAAAAAATATATATATTATATATATTTATTGTTATTATTATATATGAAATATATATATAAAAGATGGAAGCAACCTAGGTGCCCATCAGCAGAAGAATGGATAACCAAACTATGGTACCTACACAAAATAGAATACTGTGTAACCCTAAAGAATAATGTAGAATTTGCAGAACACTGCATAACATGGATGAACTTGGAGGACATTATGCTGAGTGAAATAAGTTAATCATAGAAGGACAAGTATTGTATTAGCCCATTACTGTAAAAAGGAAAGGTTTCTATATGGAAGGAAATTTTCTTTGTTGGTTGTTGGAGGGAGTGCTGTTAGATAGGTAGAGACAAGTACTCATTTGGGTGAAGGAGAAGGGCAATATACCAAATGTGAGTAATCAACAGGGTGGCATTGAGGAAGAGGAAGACAGAGAGAAGTGCATGGGAGGTGCATACAGCAAAGATGAACTGTTTTGCATATACAGTACTGTGTTGTCCATGAAGGGAAATATTGATATACAGGCGGATAGACTGGCTGAATAATTAGGTATGTCCATGCATGGAGGAGTGTGCCCAAAACCATGTATATGGCTGGCAGACAATGTTTCTACAAGTGTATTTGTATGTTCTGTAAGAATTCCTAGGAATCTGCAAGGTTGTGGTCACTGCTTGGTCACAGCCAGCTACCCAGAGGGACCAAGTAGTTGAACCTGCGGGCTTGGGACCATAGTCTCAGGGGACATCAAGCTCAAGTGGCATAACATACTGTACAAAACATTGTTCCACCTCCTACTTTGGCGAGTAGTGA